GTGTAATAGTCCTCCGAGTTGAGGTCAATACGTACTACATGTGCGGAGTGATGTACTTTGACCATGACCAACGCTTGCACTCCAATCGGGGTAGATACGGCATGTGTTGGGTGCATCACGAAGCACATGGAGTAGTAGTTGAGCCAAGAAAGGATTCATTCCTGATAATAGATTAAAAGAGAACATTCTACTTCTCATATCTAGATGGATCATAAAGTCATTGGCCAATGCAAAGATATATTCGTTTTGGATATCGAATATGATCGTTATGGATCATCTAGAAAGATTGAGAGACAGAGACTGAGTTATTGGGATAGACACAATATCATAATCTAGACTTAGTTGAATGTTCGTTGAATGAAAGGACATTATCACTATGAGCTCTATATTACAGGGAGTTTGAATAGTCCTCGCAAACGTCCTTATATATTAAGTTTGTCTGGTAAATTGTCTAGAGATTCTACTAAGACCTTAATTTGATTAGTGCTTAATATATAAGGCCCTATGGGTCACACAACAAGTGGTTATACCTTCCGATTGCAATTTTAGAGGGAATTGAATATGAATTGGATTAAGTAATATTTAATTCGTAATACTGAAAATGGATTAAATAATAATTAGATTAAACATATTTAATTCGTGATGTTGAAGGAGAGTTCTATTTGATAGAATAAATTATGTGTGATAAATTAGATTTATTATACTTAATTAAGATGTATTTATAATTAAATAAAGTTAGTATTTTCTTGAGTACAATTTGGAATTAAAATGGATTCAAGAAAATGCAAATAAAATAATAATATATGTACATCAAGGGAATGAGGTTGTGAATTCCCCATTCCCATTTAGTATGTACGTACCATGTATATTATTATTATTATATCTTTATTTAATTAATTATGAGTATTAGTCCTAGGTGGACTAAAACTCATTAATGAGAAAGACTTTCATTGTGATTGGGAAACTAGTTTAGAACTAGTATAAATACATCCTCCCCCTTCATAATTATATACGAGTTTTAAGATTCAGTATTACCAGTTTACTTCCCTGCGAAGAGATTTCCTAGCCTTTCTCTTAGGGAAATCTAACCGTTCTTTCGGAAAGGAGAAATCATGTGGATACCTAAGGTCAAGGATGATTACCGCTAGGCTGAACGATCTGTAAGTTCTAACTCAGAGTTGTTATTATTGCTATATTCGTTGTTTTGTCATAATCAGGGAAGATCTGTTTGGGAAAATTTTAAACTTCCACTGCTGTACTTTCGAGGTACGTTACATCAATTTCCTAACAGGAGATGAGGAGTTTTGGGGTTTTGTTGTTTCAATTATATTAGGGGTATTGTTGTCTATTTATTATTGAATAGTCACTCCTTGTCCAAGTTCAAAAGCAGTCATATTTTTGTCTTTCAATACTCCATAGGTAACATTTATGTCACTCTTTCCTAAAAAAAGAGATGTGGACAAAAAAGTGATTTTTTTTTTAAATTCCAAAAATAAGACTAAAAAATACTAAAGGGGCTATTACATCCTTACTAAGCCCAAGGCCAACCAACCCTGCTACAGTAAGTCGCTACAATGACCAAAGGTGCAGTGACCAATGTCACAATGACATCCTTTGCCAGTGACCAATGGCATAGTTACCGACCAATGACAGCAGTCATCCGCCGTCGTCGCTTCAACAATCATAAAGTAGTCACATTTTTGTCCTTTAAAAACCTAGGAGTATTATGTTTGTCATTATTCCTTTATATTTTCTTATTATGTATGAAAAATTTTACACAACTTATTATCAATTTTAAATTATATAAAAAATTCAAGATATGTTCACAGTGATAGAACACATTATGTCAAATTGTTTAGACTGGAGAAAATTGAAACATGAGATGTTGCCTAATATACATAATAATATAATATCACCATATTCATATCAATATTGACTAGATGATGAACCCGTGTGTTGCACGGGAATGCTCAATATATATTAATAAGATAAATAGAGATTGGTTGATTATTGTGTTACAAACTTATTCCATACTTGAAGTGTTATTAAATCGATCAATGATCATATTATGAAAAAACATTACAATTTCTTACTTTATCTAAAAAACTGATTTAACAACAAAAATCACATTTTGAATATCTAGAATGAGGGGAATTTGATTATACAAAGTTTTTTTTAAAATAAATTATTAATACATTAATAAAACAAAACATAGTAATGGTAGAGCACATGAATAGTGTAAAATTTCTAATGTTAGAATTATTTAAGAACAGAAATACTATATATGGTCGTATGAATAGTAAATGACTTTTGAGTGCATGTTTGGATGGGCCAAACAACTCCATTAGGATGGTACCCAATTGTTTTATATAATATAATGATGTATATAATATAAAATACATGGCCGTATGAATAATAAATGACTTTTAATTGAATTAATTGTGTGCCTGGATGGACCAAACAACTCAATTGCAAAATTGCAAAATCAATTGAGCACCGCAATTGCTTTAGGAGGGAAAATTGCAAAATCAATTGGCCACCCAATTACTTTATATAATATAAAGATAAAGATGTATATAATACAAAATAGAAGTAATGGCCCCAATATTACTCCCCATGTTTCTAAAGACAAAAACGTGACTCTTTTTCTATTTCCCAAAAAACTGACCCAATTTAAACAATGGGGTCCAATGCCGTTCAAAATGGCCCAATCGTGCCTTATTTCCCCTCTCCGTACTCTGCTCTAATCATCCTCGTTTCACCATTCTAACATTTACTCTGTCTTCTCGGTTTCTCAGCAACGCACCTGATGGACACTCCGAAATTCATTCTTCTCTAGCGCTCTGTCTTCGTTGAAGTCTCTTATCTCCAACCGCAATTTCGGATTTCATCTTTCTCAAGACAGAATCTAAAGTGTTTACCTAAAATTCGGAGCTGTGTGGTCAATTTTGTATGCATGTATAGATATAATCGCATATATGTAAATAATTTAATCTGTAATCATACACTAGCTCGTAATTTGCATTGAATTGCTTTTTTTTCTTTTAGAAGTCAATAGATAGGAGTGGCATGCATTAGGAGAAGGAAATTTGAGGCTAGTCGCAGAGAATTTCAGGTTTATCATAGAGATTCAAACTATTATTCTCAATATGGAGGTTGAATAAGAATAGTTTGAATAAGAGTTCCAAACAACAGCTCTCAGAAAAACAGTCTATATAGTTCTGAACTCCTCTAATTTGAACATCAACATCTGGTTCCAAACTGCAGCTCTCACGATAGAGAATAAGAGTAGTCTAATTGCCTTTTGAAACTAATTATCCTATAGTTATTGGTTTAGTGAATCTATTCTATGCTTTGGTTAAATACTTGTTTCTTTCATTTAGCCTATATTTTTTTTGTTTTTAATTTGCTTTTTATTGTTAGATGTCTGACAATGACTTCATATCTCCGGCACAAACACCGTCTCGACGTTCATCTAAGCGTCTATCATTGACTCTTAAGTCGAAACTTGTAAGTCCTCATGTTAGTATATTACATCCCCTTATTTTGTATATGAGGTTTTGTTTCTCATTCATTTTTTAATTTGTCTTCTTTCCAGACCTACACGAGATTGGTCAACAAAGATGTTGTTTATCTGGACTTAAAAGTTAGAAGAGTTAATACATTTTCTAGAATTTCCGATTCAATAAACCTTGTCAAGTCCAAACTACTTCCTACTGAACTAGCCTTGTTTAGAGATTCCGTCTTTGGAAAGTTCTTAGATGTTAAGGAGATGTCAACTTCTGCATTTTCTTATAGGAAACTTAGTAGAGTTTGAAACCAGCTCAAATGCTATGCATTTTGAAATTCAAGATAGGGTCATATTATTCTCTTTTTCTGACTTCTCTCACATTATGGGGTTCACTATCACTGACAACGTTCTTGATGTTGAACATGTTCACTCCGAGAAGGGTCATATTTGGAAAAGTACTTTCCATGTTTTGAGAAAACGTAAAGCGCAAGGATATTAAGATGGTATTTCAGTCTATTCAAAGGGGTCAAGAACCACACGAGGACATCCTTAAGCTTTCCGGCTAATGTACAGTAAAAAAAATGGATTCTGGTTGTTTTAGACATTTCTGCACACACTTTGAAAATTTATGATACAAATAATAGACGTGCTGTCGTGCCTCAAACTATACGCAAAGAGATCAGAGGTCTTGTTCACTATCTCCCGCATATTATGCTTCACATGAAAGCCCATGCCAAAGGAAGAGTCCCAAATGTTGTTAAACCTTTCTCTATTACGATGGTTGTTGGAGCCCCATGACAAGAAAATTTGTAAGTAACGTGGCCTATTTCACTAACAGCCACTACTTCTATATACATACATATACAAACTATTCATATATACTTTAAAGATACCTGATATTGTTACTACTTTACTAAGCACTATCTATACTTTTTTTTTGCAGTGGAGATTCGGGTATCTTAGTGATGAAAATGGCTGAATTGCTCCAAATGGACATGGATATCAAACTCATATGTCCAACAGATGTTCCAGCTTATCGAGAAAAATGGGCCCATGATCTTTATATCCATGGATCAAAAGAGGAAAATCAATAGTTCCCCATCAACCTGTTGTTTAACTTTGTAAACTTTACAATGATGTTTTTGTTAATTGACATTGCAACTTAGTATTTGAGGTTGATGCCTTATGTGGTTAATATTCTTTTGGAAGTCCAAACCCTCTTTTGTTGTTGATGTGATTTCGCAAGGCAAAAACATTGTTGAAATCTGATTTCCGATTAAAATGTTTGCACATTTTGCTATCTTCTTTATAAATTCCAGTTACATGGTTCAAATATTGTAACTATATGTCACTTTAGTTGTGACATGAAGAGAATGTCACTATGAGTATATATCACTATGTAATTCAAATGTGAAAAAATGTGCATCTTGTTTTAAATTTGCATTTATGCGGTTTAAATATTGTAGTGACAAGGAGATACCAATTCAGTAGTGAGAACTATTACAACACCCAATCCTTGTAACTTAAGTTGTGCCATGAAGTGAATGTCACTATGAGTAATTTAAGGTCATTAAGTTTGCATACATTTGCAAACTATAATATTCAAGGGACCATACATAATTCATGTCCTATTCAACTTATTCTTAAACAACAATTGGTAGTAATTGAAGTAAAAAAGACGAATGAAATCCTTTATTCTAAAGCCCATTAGTGACGTGGTATAGGATTGTTGCAAGTATTTTGGTTGTGACCTTGTTGTTTGTATCTTCCACACTTTTGTTTGGTCACAAACTCACCCATCGAAGAAATCCTTTCATTCTTTGGTCTTCCAGCTGCCCGCTTATCTAATACCGGTGGGTGAATGATACAATCTCTGTACTTGCTTGGGATATCGGCTTCACAATATGAACCTAATGGTTCTACAACTCCCCTGTATGCTTGCATCCATCAACTACTCTTGTAGTATGTAGAAATAAAATCATAACATGACAACCCATTCCTTGCTCTTATTGATGCAACTGCATGAACGCAAACAAAATCCTCCAATTGAAACTCCCTGCAAGAACACCCCTTTGAGTCAAGGTCTGCCACATATGCTCTACTCCATTTGTCAATAACTTCAAATTTGAAGTTTGTGCTTGGTCTTACCTGCAAGTGAACACAATGTCCAAATTAGTATTATATAACTCATTGTTATTAACACAAACAGTTTTAAGACACAATTTGCATAGTGATATACAATGTTAGTTACTAATATCAAGGTATAAGAGACTTTTATTTCACTTTGATAACAAAAGATAACTCATTATCATCCCTGCAAAATCATGCAGCAAGTTCAAAAGCACTTCTGTTGCCGCTGGAGACAAGGTCATGTTGTTTTCATATGCTTCTTTTCTTCTATTATGAAACCACTTTTGAAATTTTACTCTAAGAAATTCAATGACCATTGTTATCGGGTATTCCCTGGCAGTGACATCAGCCGCATTGAGTATTCTGCATTATTAGAAGTCACCATGCAGTACCTTCTTGTTGTCATTTAACTCCTAGCCCATTTTTTGGCTCCAATTTCTGTAAGATATTTTCGAATCCTTGGATCTTCTGCATCAAGTAGCCTCATATAGTATTCACACAATCGTGATGTTGGAGCCCTTGCTGCTGCATTGAAGAATCTAATCACTTTCTTCCTTTTCCCCCCAACTTTGATGTTATATTCCCAAGTATGTGTTGCACACAATACCCATGCTCTGCACCTAGAAAAACATCTTCCACAGCCCTAAGAAGCCCTTGATTTCGGTCTGAAACGAAGCACATTTCAGGTCATTCTCCAATTGCCTCTTTCAATTTTGTAAAGACCCATGTCCATGACTCTTTGTTCTCCCTACCGCATATTCCAAATTCTAGTGGGAAGATTTGTCTATTTGCATCCATACCACATGCCGTTAGAATTTTTCCCTTAAATTTTGCTTTCAAGAAAGACCCATCCACACTGATTATAGGCCTACAAGCAGACCATCCTTCTCTAAATGCCCTCAATGATATAAACAATGTCTTAAAATTGTTTTTTGAATCAGTGTCTAAAGATATGATTGATCCAGGATTTGTTTGATCTATCATATAACACAAGCTTGGAAATTTCATGTATGACTCAATATCTGTTCCACATATTGATTCCAAAGCTTTCTCCTTACCTCTCCAAGCTTTTTTGTAGTCCAAATCGAGTCCTAATTCCCTATTTAGATCTGCCATTATTGCTTTTGGTGGATAGGGTTTTCTTGAGGCATCTAGGTATTGGTGTTTAATTAGCTTCCCATTAATCAATGAATTTGCTTGTCCATTACCACTCATTCTACTATCAATGGAGCACCTATGTGTGTTATCAAACCTGTAAGACATGCAAAAGAAAACTACAATTATAATCAACCAAACAACATCACTAATAATACAAATTAAAACCTACCATAATGTAACTGCATAATAAAATTGGAATGCTATGTGTCACTTTTAATACAAATTTCTATTCTACTATCCATCACACATTATATGTCCTTCTATATTATATTTCAAACTCAAGCATCTCTCACAATAATTTTTACGTCAAGTTAGCATATAGTAGTGACAATAACAAGAAAAGGAAGCATTCAATGAAACTTACTATTAAAGGAAAACGAGAAACATTCAAGTATGTAATTTACATTTACCTTTTCACTTCAAAGCTACATGTTTGTTTTATTCTCACCCCACGTACTGCCCACTTGCAATCTTCATCAAAGCAAACAACATGATAGACATTTGGATGTGATGTTTTAGGCCTGAATTGGAATTTGTTGTGCAATGCATAAAATTGCAATGTCTCCTTAAAACTATCTTTGCTAGGATATATTCTATGTAATCTTAATGTTGTGTCCATCCCCACAACCTGATCATTGCTTGCACCTCCCATCCATGTTAACAGAGGTGTTTGTGCACTTGACTATTGCTCGAATGGCACCGTATAAGAATCTCTATGTCCGTAAACAAAACTTGTCACTATAGCACCATTTTCACTATTACGATCCCCTGTAATGTCATTGTTTGTGACTTCAGATTCTCTTGTTCTGAGGTTTGTGTCACTTACGATCTCCACTTCAGTTGTCTTCATTATTTGTACACATAAGGGGTATTTTCCTACAACATTCCATTCCATACCTTTTAAATGCAAATAAAGTTTTAGGCTAATGTCACTATCAACAAGTGTAGGTTCAAAGCCTGCATCAATTTGGTATGAAATGCAAGTAATATCCACATCAAGCTGAATCCCTAACATGTCCCGTAACTCCTTAATCATATCACAATACGAAGCCTTGGATCTAAGTACAAGTCCATGTGTTGATTTTGAGACAAACTTTTTCTGAACGTTCCACCTTCCATCAAACATCACTGTAATCAAAATTTGCTCCATCTCTAGACAAAAGCACTACTCCACAGTTGGTGCTTTGTGACTGAAAACCAATACAAATATAATAGTGACACTGGTATAGGTACACTAATTCTCAGTGACACTAGTTTAGGTACACAAATTCGTAGTGACAGTGGTGTAGGTACACAAATTCGTAGTGACACTAGTTTACGTATACAAATTCTAAGGGACACTGGTTTAGGTACACAAATTCTCAGTGACACTGGTTTAGGTACACAAATTCGTAGTGACACTGGTGTAGGTACACTAATTTGCAGTGACACTGGTGTAGGTACACTAATTCGCAGTGACACTTGTGTAGGTACACTAATTCTATGTGACATTGGTTTAGGTACACAAATTCGCAGTTATAGTACTCGTTTAAATATACAAAATCACAGTTACATGACATAGTAATATGTGTCCCCTATATACTCGTTCACAATTATCCAGATTTACAAACATACTCTACTATTCTGCTATATCAAAAACGAAGAACATACACACTCCATATTTTTTCAAAAACTATAAATCCGATAATCATAGTTACACAAGTGAAACTATACATTAGAGATTACTTACTTGAAGGATTTTCTTTCTAAAGCTCCATATCAATGTCAAATCATGGTCACCGCTGGAAGGAAATCGCTAAAATATGTCGAAGAACATCCCTGGAGCTCTATTTCACCGTAAAAGGACTATGCTTGAACCGCTCTTCCAAAATTCCGTTGGTTTCCAAATTTCACTTGTAATGTCATGTCACCTAATAAGTTAGGTTTTATTACTAATTTCCAAATTAATGACCCATTGTGATCACTTTTATGTTCAGGAAAGATTATGGTCACTTTTACGGAATTTGTTTAGGCCTTGGTAATATTAAGGAAATTTTCCCTATAAAATACATGACCGTATGAATAATAAATGACTTTTAATTGAATTATTTGTGTTCCTGGATGGACCAAACAACTCAATTGAAAAATTTCAAAATCAATTGAGCACCGCAATTGCTTTAGGAGGGAAAATTGCAAAATCAATTGGCCACCCAATTACTTTATATAATATAAAGATATAATATAAAGATGTATATAATATAAAATACATAGCCGTATCAATAAGAAATGACTTTTAATTGAATTAATTGTGTGCCTAGATGGACCAAACAACTTAATTGCAAAATTACAAAATCAACTGAGCATCGCGATTGCTTTAGAAGGGAAAATTGCAAAATCAATTGGTCACCCAATTGTATGAATAATAAATGACTTTTGATTGAATTAATTGTGTCTCTAGATGGACTAAATAACTCAATTGCAAAATTGCAAAATCAATTGAGCACCGCAATTGCTTTAGGAGGGAAATTGTAAAATCAATTGGCCACCAAATTACTTTATATAATATAAAGATAAAGATATGATATAAAGATGTATATAATATAAAATACATAGTTGTATCAATAATAAATGACTTTTAATTGAATTAATTGTGTGCCTCGATGGACCAAACAAGTCAATTGCAAAATTACAAAATCAACTGAGCACCGCAGTTGCTTTAGAAGGGAAAATTGCAAAATCAATTGGCCACCCAATTGTTTTATATAATATAAAGATGTATATAATATAAAATACATGGTCATATGAATAATAAATGACTTTTAATTGAATTAATTTTGTGCCTAGATGGACCAAACAACTCCATTGCAAAATTGCAAAATCAATTGAGCACCGCAATAGCTTTAGGAGGGAATATTGCAAAATAAATTGGTCACTCAATTACTTTACATAATATAAAGATAAAGATGTACTCCGTATATAATATAAAATACATGGTTGTATGAATAAAAAATGACTTTTAATTGAATTAATTGTGTCCCTGAATGGACTAAACAACTCAATTGCAAAATTGCAAAATCAATTGAGCACCACAATTGCTTTAGGAGGGAAAATTATAAAATCAATTGGCCACCGAATTGTTTTATATAATATAAATATGTATATATAATAAAATACACGGCCCCATGAATAATAAATGACTTTTAATTGAATTAATTGTGTGCCTGGATGGACCAAACAACTCAATTGTAAAATTGCAAAATCAATTGAGCACCGCCATTGCTTTCGGAATTAGGAGGGAAAATTAGAAAATCAATTGACCACCGAATTGTTTTATATAATATAAAGATGTTTTAAGGAATAAATTGTATTTAGATTTTGATGATGCTAAGTTAATTAGGATATTAGAGTACCCCTTTAGAAATCTTGTATTAGAATTTTCTTTGTAAAAGTAATAGCATAGCCGACTGGCCAAAAACCCTCTTGGATCTCTTCATCAAAGATGGTACCAGAGCTAGGCACCAGTTACCATCAGAGCCGGACATCAGAGTTGCTATCAGAAAACCTCAACAGACTTGCTGACACGTAGAAGAATCTGAAGGTACTTCAAATAGTCGTTAGACTAACGGAAGATTCCCTAACGGCTAGGAGCTTCTCAACGGAACATGCTACTTTTCACTTATTTAATGCCCAATTAATGTGGTTCACTCGTTGAGATATATAAAGCTGATGATTGACCAAAAAAACATATTCACGCCCCCAAAATAGCAAGTCGGCTACTTTTGTGGTTCAACCGGTCAAGTCTACAGTACGTGCATTTAATGCAGTTATCTCCCTCCTCCAACGGGAAGACAGTCCCACTATATATGATACAACACGAAGAACAACCGGATAACTTTTGCTCTCTCTATATTTTACAATCAAGCCTTCTTGAGATATCAACTTCATCTTCCTCAACAAGAAAAGCCTACGTTGAAAAGATATTATTCTCATATCCTTTCTTCCAATAAGAGCAAAGTTCCTACCTGTTTTTCAACACTTCAAGCACTTCATCTACCTATATTTGTTGATGAAGAAAGTTGGAGAAACATCTGTTCTTACAGAACCATCTTCTTTTCAAAGAAGGACGTCCAAAGTAACTGGAGTAGTGAAGTGGGGATACTTCAAGGAGACTCGGTGAAAAGGACCAGTCATCTGGAAGGTAGGAAGAGCATCTCGGGTGACAACTAGACTTGAAGAAGACGAGGAGAGCTTCTTAAGTGCTAAGACTAAGGCGTTGTAACTGTCGATTTACAAGCTTAGTGGAACAGTGGACTAGAGGAACGCATTGTTCCTTGAACCACTATAAAAACCCCGATGTCATTTACTTTATGCATTTACTTACCTGTACTTAGTTTTTAACTACTTGACTCCCAAAGATTTGGACTCTGTGTTCAACAGATCTTCTTTGAGAGTTAACAGAAAGGCATTTGCCTTAGTGTTTTCCTGAGGCTACCCGGACAGAACTCTTATCCACTGCCAGGTCAAGTTCTGCCATCAGAACTCGACCTTCTCTATCACCAGAACCAGACCTTCTCTGATAAGTCATTTGTGACTTTGAGAAAAAGTTTGAAAACCCTGAACAGTCTATTCACCCCCCTCCCCCAGACTGTTCCTAGTATAAACGGGACCAACAAGTGGTATCAGAGTCTCCTTGTTCTTGTAATCTTTTAGGTTACCTGTTGAACAAAGATCCACTTGTTTCTTAGTCTTTGTTTTAAATTTCTTATCATGGATATCACACTTTCCAAGAATCTCATGTTTTCAGTGACTAAGTTTGATGACTGGAGGATCAGGATGAAAGCCCATCTATGTGCACTTCGTGATGAGATGTGGGAAGTTCTTGATGCAGGTCCTTCCACTCAGTTCAAAAAGGTGAACCCAAATTATCTTACTGGTGGTGATGAACCACAGATGATCATCAAGGGACGTCATGAGTGGTCAACTGAAGAAAGGAGGAAGTACAACCTTGACAACATTGTCAAGGACATCCTCTACAAGGCCATAGATGACAAGTACTTCACCAGAATCAAGAAGTGCACATCTGCCAAGGAAATATGGGATAC